CCAGAAGAAGCAGAACAAGCAGGAGAAGACGAAGCAGGAGCAGGAGCTGTACCACCTGGAAAAGCAGCTGGCGGCCCAGCGCTTGGATGGGACGGCGCCGACTGTAACGACATTTTCTGAGAAATTGAATGACGCGCTGGAGGTGAAAGCTATTGGCGGAGTGGCTGGAGCTAAAGGCGTTCACACTTACGTTTTTCCTTGCAGTGATGAAGTTGTCCATTCGGGTTCGGTGGCGGTTGGAGGTGCTGATCGCGTGCCTGAGGTGGTTCCTGAAGGCGTCGGTTACTCGGCCGACGAGCGCAGGGCCATGTCTGTCGTAACGGCGGGAGCCGCCGACCTACGGCCTCCTGGGTGTATTTCGGAGCCCTTCGGTCAGAACGCGGAGCGGGCGGAGAAGCTGGTGCAGCTGCTGACGGAAGGCAAGATCTCTTACGCCGCGCTGGACGCGGAGGTGAGGGTCATGATGGCCGCCGGCGCGGGCGCTTCGTCTTCGACTCAGAGGGCGTCTTCTTCATCGTAGATCCGGCATGCTCCGCCGCGAGGGGTCAAAGGATGGCTTCATCATCGGCTCTGAGGTTTTCTTCGTGCCGTTTCGGCTCAACCTCGCCTCTCCCCTCAGAGCTTGCGCTTTTTCCAGCCAGCCTTCTAGTCCGTCCGCGAGCCTAGAACGGTTGTTGCCTACAGCAACAAAAAAAAAAAACGAGCTGCGGGGGCGAACCGAGCTCGCCACTCCCTCGGGGCGGGCAATGTCCGAAATGACCCCCAATTCCGGATGGGGGGGGGGGGGGCAGGGGGCCACCGACGCAGAAGCGCTCGCCTGACTCGCCGCGCTCAGACCTCCCAGGGTCAGCGCTGCGGTGGCGTCGACGGGCCTGGGTGCACGCCGTGGGTCCGAGCCGCCGGCGACTCCTCGCGGCCTCGCGTTTTGGCCTGGCCTCGCCTCCCCGTGGGCGGAAAGGGGCGCTGGGGGGGGGCGGCAGGGGCGACGGCCGCGCGGTTCGCCGCGCTCAGATCTCAGTCGGTCGGCGCCGCGGTGGCCTGAAGACGACGTTGAACTCAAACGGCATGGGCCGCCGACGCCTCCTCGCATCCGCCCGTCGTCGCCTCCCGACTGCGCCGCGCGGGCAGGGCGGCTCTGGGCGGGGCGGGCGGCTCGCGCCGGACCGGCGCCGAGCTCTGGCAGGAGATCCCGCTCTCGAACCTGGAAGGGGTGGGCGCCGCGACGGAAGGCTCGCCCAGAGGATCCCCCTCCTGCGCGGCCGCCCTCGAAACGGCGGACGCAGCGCCGCGCGGGCCAAGGCGTGGGGCCAGAGGAGGGGCCCCGTCGAACCAACCAGCTTCCCGTTGATGCAGCGCCGCCACGCTGAAGCCCGCGTCGGGCCAGCGCAGGCCCGCCTCGCCGGAGTCCCAGAACTTGGAGCTATGGCCAGGCATGCTAAGAACTCGTCGTGAAATCCGTTACCGATGCGCACCTGGCAGGGCGTCGGCCCCCCAGCGGATTTGCCCGAGGTTGCTGGCCGTCTCGCCGGGGAGTTCCTTGACCTTGCCCTGAAACTCCGCCGTGAATCCCGCTTGGAGTTCACCCAGCGCCTTCTTGTCCCGCTCGTCAACCTCCAGCCCCTCGGTCGAGAAAACGTCGCCTGCCTCGGAAGTGCACTCCTCGGCATCAAGAGTCCGGGCGATATTGGACGCTGGAAAAGGATCTGGGGGAACGGGCTCGCGCGCTATCCCGTCTGAGACTGCCGCGCCTCGCGCGCAAACACTCCTGGGGTGCCTTCTCTGCGTCCGCCTGAGCCACTGCGCTCTGGTAGGCCGCCTGCTCCGCTCGTTGTACCACTGCAGCACATTGCGCTCGCTCTCTGCTGCCTTCTCAAGAGCCGCCTTGGCCCTCGGCTCGGCCGCCTCAGCCCAGTCGTAAGCCTCGCGTGGCGGCTCCACCTTGTTAATCCAACTTGATGGTCGGGGAATCCAATTTGATGGTCGCAAGGGTCTGTGCAATGCGGGGCGCTGCTGCCTGCGGCTGCTTGAATGGCTTGGAGCGACTCTTCGGGTGTCTTGTCGGCGGGCTCCTTACTCCACTCCCCTCCGTATACCGCCCAGGTTTCAAGTGATTACTGGAGCCTCTTCTCCCAAGCACCATGCACCGCTGAAGTCCTCCATGGCGGCGGCACTCCGAAGGACTTAGCACATTGGAAGCACGAGGTCCGATTTTTCCAAATCCACTGGTACCCGCATGACCCGCACTTGGCGAATCCGTATGAACATACCACACTTGCACGAACATCCCAGCAGAGCTCACCGGCCCCACCTGTCTGAGGCGAGGCGCGCTTTTCCAGGAACTCACCGACAATGGAAGCTCACAAACCTGGGGTGAACTAGGCTTTCAAGAAATTGAAAACAAATCGCGGCCTAGCGGTAGTCGCTTCAATCGGAAGCCGCCAAAACCTTGATCCTTAGTGGTTTGAACCAACGTGGGCACGGACAAATCGAAGAGAGGAGGAGGATGAGGAGGAATAACATGACCAATGCGAACCCAAGGATCACCAACGATGTTGCTATAAGCCCTCAAAAAAACATTCCCGACGATCCTTCACATCGACTTCGTGTTCACAGAGGGAAGTACCAAGTTTGAAAGCAACCGTCCGAAACTCCTGAACCATGCCATAACACAATTTCTGTCAGTTCGACGCCGCGAACCAACCTTACTGTTGTGTTCTGGCGATCCTGAATCGTGCCAAAGCGCCTCTCCTGGGGCTGCAGCGCCACGAATCAGCGTACCTGTTGCGCCCCGTCTATCCTACATCGTACCAAAACATCGTCTCTGGGACGTCAGCCGTAAGATGCCTCGAAACTGCTGTAAAATCTCAAGACCGACGGGCGCGGCGCTGAAGCGAAAACGACATTTGAAAAGGTACCGCCCTCCATCCGTGAAGCTCCTGCAAATTGTTCCAACGAGTGTGCGCAGCGCTAAGGCGAGGAGGAGGAGGGCAGTGACAGGGAGGGCTCTAGGGCTCGATGCTACGCAGCAGGGCTGCTGAGGGCAAAGCTGCCCCGCAAGGCGCGCACGCCCTGCTGTGGCCGCGGCAGTCCCCAGACGAGGACGGTGAAGGACAGCGGCCTCCCACCAACACGACGACCAGGAACACGAGCAGGGAGGCGGGGAGAGAGGGAGGCAAGGCGAGGCGAGGTGATTCACAATTCGCCCACGAGGGCGGCCGCGCGTTGGGCTGGGAGTGGGCGCTGGGGCCCCGCTCGCTCAGTCGAGGGGGCACATGTGTTTTTTTGCTTGCGCCGGGACAAGGAACATCACAAGAGAGGGGGGCCCGAGAAGGGCCAAGGGCCAGAAGAAGGGAGGGAGGGAGGGAGGGAGGGAGGGAGGGAGAAAAAGGAAGGGAAAGAAAGAGGTAAGCGAAAAGAGGGGAGACCGGTATTATGGGAGGGGCCTTGGCTTGACTTGAAGCGTGCCTGCAAGGGTGGGGCCAGACGAGGGAGGAGGGGCCAGGATCTGGGGCTCAACAAAAAGCTGTGTGGCTACACCCTGCGTGCTATTGGTCATTTGGGCACTGCTGGTACTTCTTGGTTTCCTTTTCTGGTGGGCATAAGATCTGCCAAACGTGTGTAGCCTTTCTGCTTGGTATCCTTCACTTCCCCTCGAGAGTCGGGGACGCACCAACCCAGGTCAGCACAAACCTGGGTCAGCCAGGGCCCCGTCGCAAGGCGGAAAGGGGGAATCGGCCCCACCTGGCCCCCAAACCTGGCGCCGTACGCATATCTACTCATATTTCCGTATGGCACCTTCCACGCAGTCCTTGCCTCCATAATTAGACAATCTAATACAAGCGTTTCCTGGGAACGACTCCAACATTACAACGACTACTGCAATACAACGAGTCCAACTGCTTTTCCGACCGACGTGTTGTTGTAAGTATGCTCCTCACCAGTCTTACCCCTGGTCAGCCGAAACACGGAGGCTCAGCTGAGGCGTGTCCTGATGAGGGCTGAGCTTGCAGTCTTGCTGTCGTTGCCTCTCGTGGACAACGCAAAGATGAGAGTTGTCTTTCACGCCAGAATCGAGCTCGAAAACTCCTTGCGTGTCGAGCTTCGCTCTGCTCCGCTTTGCGAACCGATCCACTACAATGGGGGATTCTATCATGACTGGGTCAGCCCCAATTCGGCGGTGGACAAACCTCCCTTTAGTAAACCTCCCCTTTGTGAAAACGGCCTGGGACCGAAACCGACGGACCTGGACCCGCAGAAATGACGGCCGCGACGCCCTCTCGCGAACCGAAAACGGCCAATGACTTAATCGACGTGTCAGGGTAGGAGGTCTGTCCACCCCCGACCGAAGGAGGAGGCGAGCGTTCGGGACGGAGGCCGCGGCACCAGCGACAGCAGGCAGCCACGCGGGCCACAGCGCCCCCCTCTGTGCGCCGAGGCGGTGACCGCTCCGTGGGGGTGGGCCCCCGGCCCACTCCCCCCGGGGGACAGGAGGAGGGATGGAAGGCAGCAGAGGAGGGCGAGGGCGAGGAGGAAGAAGGGCCGAGGAAGAGGAGGAAGAGGATGAGGAGGAGGACAGACGAGAATAAGGCAGCAGAGGAGGACGAGGTGGAAGTGGAACAAGAGGAAGGAGGAGGGAGGATGACGAGAGAGGACGGGAAACAAGGCGCCTATCCCTCCGATTGACCCCTTCTCTCTCTCTCTCTCCCATGACCGCTCCAACAAAAACACTGAGGCGCAGATCGGCCCGATTCCTTCTACATAACCGAGCCGATCGAATCGAACCGCGCCCGTGGAGGGGAGTCGCCGTCGGGGGTGCGCTATCGAACCAAACGATGCCACGCGCAGACACCAGACCACCTCGTCGACTCGATCGAATCACGGGCAGCCGTGCCGCCCGCACGGCCGCAGGGAAGGAGCGGGCGAATGGGATGGGTGAGCGGGGGCAGAACGGAAGCGAACACACCAAAAGCTGACGGCGGAAGCGGTTCGCGGCGGATCGCCTTCTTTAATCCCGCAATCTCAGCAGAGCGGCGCTCGGCGCGCTGCTCGTACGTCTCGGGCTTGGCGACGCACATGCCCTGATCCCACCCACCCATCAACCTCCAACCTGCTGTCCAATACCCAACACACTTGCAGATGAGCACGCACCAGGGAGGTCAGCGGTATGCTGTCCACAACACCACGTCTGCAGAATTGCACATGTGACATGCGCGCTCCATTACGGTGGTCTTCGAAACAAACACGACTACTCTCAACACAAGTACGTGTGCGCGGTCGCCTACGCCCCCTGTGCTCGTTGTGGTTTGCACACACGTACACGCGCGTACACACCGTCACGCACGTCGTGCACTTGCAGTAACAAGCAAACTCTGCAATGCGATCCTTTGCTTAGCTTACTGGCGCCTGTCACGCGACTCTGGCGCGTGCGCTCATCGCGTGCCGTGCAGGCGGAGTCCCGCGCCCTGCGCTGTCAAGTTACGAGGTTTCGATGCTTCCCTAAGTTGATCCCACCAGCCCTCTGGGGCATAATATCGGTTTAGGTCGATCCATCTTACATCCCTTACATTCCCTTTGAGAGAGAGTGGCCCCTCTCCCGCGCCCCTTCCCCTGGGCCTGAGAGGAAAGCATGGGGGGAGTGCGGGAGGCGATCAGCTAGACCGTCCAGTATGGCCCAACGTGCCTGAATTCCTATTCCTTCTGCTCACCATCCTCCACCTCGTCCTCCCCCTCTTCCTCCTCCTCCTCCTCCTGCTCCTCCTCCTCCCCTCCTTCTCCTCCTCCTTCGAAACACCCGCGAAGGTACTCCGAACCTCGCGCAGATCTCGCGCCGCGGGCCGTGCCCGAGGACGGGTCGAGCGCATGGAGGCAACGGGTGTTGCCGGAAGTGCTCCTGACCCCGTGACTTCCAAGGAGGCCCGCACGGCCTCCGACGAAGCCCTCGCGAGGCCCAGGTGGCTCCGAGGCCTCGACAGGAAGGCATAAAGCTGGGGACACCTCGGGCCATGGGACCCTCCTTGGCAGTCCCCGAACAGGACAAGCACCGAGGAGAGCCACGTAGCGGCAGTGACAAACAATGCCGGAACGGCTCCCGGGTGCGCACGAGGCGCCTGCCAGCGTCTAGCGCTGGAAGGAGGGCCCTCGGGCCGACGGCGGGACAGCGCAAGGGAAACACCATGCTGCCAACGCAGGGGCGAGGGGGAAGAGGGTCAGGGCCCTAGGTACGGGGGTGTCGGCAATACGGCAAGGCATCAACGGAGGCGTCCAAATTTCGGAAGTAGCATTCGGACGTCGCAGGCCGCTGAACCACGGTGCCATATCGTCAAGTACCCCAGAATCAAAAACGAATCGAACCTGAAGTGAATCGGATAACTATTGCGCCTAATCCCCACATCGGCAAGCTCAACACACATTCTAAGGCGGGCGTTTGCTGGACATGCGGGGTGCCAGTCCTGTCCAGCACGCGAACCGCTGTCATCATTGCCCGCGGCTTGTCGTAATATGCATGCTTTATCAACTCCACGGCGCGCGGGTGCACATCCCGTGCGCGGGTACATATACCCCGCCCTGGGTCTTGGTAGGAGTCCCAGACCGGGCCCGAGGATCATGGAAACGTGCCTCAGACTCATGAGGACATGGGCATCACGACGGGTGTACGACAAACATGCAGCGACACACAGAACAGAGTGGCCCAAGGGGGACGAGAACGGAAACGCTCGGGTCGAGAATTATGAGAAGGGCGGAGACAGAGAGTGCGGCGGCGTCGCCCGTGACTATCGTCACCCTCATGGCGACTACCCATGGCTCCATGAAGGGGTGCATGGCTCACCGCGTGCCTTCCTTCACCAACATTGCCAAGCGAGGCTCGTTTGCGCAGTCTGTTCGGGACCATCCCTGTTCACAACATTGTCTTTCATTGGGCGAAACGCGCACCAGGCACACGCTCCGTCTTAGAAGCCATACCATGAACACTCATGCCTCTTGTTGCATCTGTCCAAGAACGCCAAAATAACTGCACGTGCGCCTCCATCCAGGAAGCTTTCTGGTGTTCGCCACTATGCAAGTCCTCTCACAAGAAAGAAACGTTTCGCATGGGATACTCTAACGTTCCGTTCCCCTCCTCGCCACAACAGAACAACACACACACACCTGCCAACCTCACCGTGCCCAGGAGCGAGGATTAGCTTTGGACACAACCCGTGGAAAGACTCGCAGGTCACAAAAACGAAGACGGGGCCTGGGTCGGCCGCGCGCCCGGGGGGGGGGGGCAGGCGAGAAAGAGACGGCCTCCCCAGAGGCGGCGGGACCTCTCAGAAGCCCCCCGGCCTTCCGAGGAGACTGCCGCGCCTTCGGGGAAGGCCCGGAAGTCTTCTCGGGAGGCCCAGGGCCTTCCGAGCCTTCTGAGGTGGCCCGCCCCTTCGCACTTCTCCCCCCGGCTCGCCGCCGACTGGGGGGAGGGGGGGCAGGCGCCCCTCAAAAAAAACCTCTCGGCCACCGGGCGGGAGGACGAGAAGCCCCCTCCGTGGGGGGGCGCCTGCCTTTGGCGAGGGCGCGCGGGGGGGGGGGGCGAGGGGTGAAAAACCCGAGGAGGGGCAGCGAGGGAGGGGAGCAGAGCGAGGGACGGCGACGACCAAGGCAGGGGAGGGGCACGGAGCGAGGCGGGGCCGCGGACCACGACGACGAGGCGACGGCTGCCCCCGCCGCGCCGCCGCCGCCGCCGCGCAGGCGCCCCGCCCCGCTCCCGCCGCCCCGGGGCAGGGCCGGCCAGCCACCGCATCCGGAAACCGGACGGCACCGGAACGCGCGTCGGGCACAGCAGGGAGCCGAGATCGAAGCGCAGCTCGGCCGCGCCGGGGTGCACGGCGACGCCACGCCGCGCGTGCATCGGGCCGCGCTGGATCGCCGGAGCACCGGAGTCGGATCGGGAAGGTCTGGCCGAAATCGATTTCAAGTCGGATCGACGGGATCGACATGGACCGAGGAAGGGTGGGGAAGGATCGGGGGGAGGGATGGAGGGACAGTACGGAGGACAGTCCTCCCCTCTGGCTCGCGCTCCCCTCTGGCTCGCGACTGCTCCCCTGGCTCGCGCTGGCCTGGAGCTTCTCGAAGTACTCCAGCACGGCTTCCAACTCGGACCTGGTGTGGTGACCAGGAAGGGGGCTCGGACACCCCCGTCCGATTCTCCTCGTTCTCCTCGCTCGCCTCCCCCTCTCCCTCCATTCCTCCTCTTCCTTCTTCTCCTCATCCACCCCCTCCCCCGGTCCCCTCTTCCTCGTCCTCCTCCCCTCCCCCTTCTCATCCTCATAGAACCATTATCCCCCCTTCTCCTCCTCCTTCTCCTTCTTCTCCTCCTCCTCCTCCTCCCGCAGCCTAAGACCTCCTCGGTCCTCCTCGGTCCTCCTCGTCATCAATACCTACGTCACCCTCTAACAGTTTTCATCCTCCGCTTCCTCATCCAGCGCTCCCCCCTCTGCATGAAAATCAGATGAATCCCCCAATACACGCAACATTGAGTCCCAACAGGCTTCTGGGCGTAGATGGTCCAACGAGTTCTTCTTTTCCTCTTCCAAAGCCCTCTTCCCTTCGGGGAATGGTGTCATCCCCCTCCCTTCCCTGATCAGGACGCCCAAGATGCATGGCTCCAAGAGGGAGTCCGATGCTAAAAGAGTGCCTCCAAGATGGCTCTAGATAGCCGAAGATGGATCAAGATGGCTTCCCACGCACCTCCAAGATGACCGACGAGGGCCACAAGACGGTTCCAGGTGCTCCAAGAGCCACTCCAGGACTCCCCCCGGAAGAAGCCAACATCGATCAAAATCCACAGGAACATCAATGATTGCTTCCTTATCGCCTTTTTGCTTCCGATGAGCTTCTGAGGCCTCATGATGGCCCCAGGATGGTCCCAAGATGGGCCCAAGAGGCCCCTAAAACGATCTCAAGAGCGCCCAAGATCGGCCCAAGAACGCCCAAAGATCGCCCCAAGAGGCGACTTCGATGATCCTGAAGGGGGGAGGCAAATCGGGTACCCCCGATCCTCTGATCGACGCCTTACGAGATGGCCCCAAGAGGCCTTACAGCGCCCCCAAGAGGACCCCGACAGAGCCCCGAGAGGGCCCCAAGACATCTCAAAAGAGCCCTATGGGGACCTCAGGGCCTTCCAAAAGAGCCGCAAGAGGGCCCCAGGAGGGCCCCAAGTAAAGCCTAAGAGGACCCGAATAATGCCCCAAGAAAATCCCAAGATGGTTCAAAACGTTCTTGTCCTCGTTGACCTCCTCCTCCTCCTCCTCTTCCTCCTCCTCTTACCCTCCTCCCCTCCTCTCCTTGCCCCTCCTCTTACCCTCCTCCCCTCCTCTCCTTGCCCGTTTCGTTCCTCTATGTGTGTCGCTTCCTCCTGTTTACCGTCAGCTCGCATGGACAACGTTTCTGAATGGGCTGGTGGGGATGCGCGAAACGGCGTATTCTTGATTATACAATGAATGATTACCACCTCACGCATGAACGCGCCGATACACACGTGGAAACATAACGTGCCTGGTGCTCCAATGTGTTAACTGTTGTTTCAAATTCTACTTTGCTGCATGGGCTCGTCCCACGCGCCGCCTTACAAGGGAATGAGTTCCGTTCATGTTGTAATCCTTGTCATCTCCCTGCCCGATTACTTGTCGGTGTGGTTGCGAATTGAAATGGGGGTGTATATGGATATGCAAATGTATATGCTTACGTGTAGAGACAACAATAGTGACTCAGTAGTGTGCAATTTGATGAACAACCATGAAACATGAGTACGAGAACTGGCCCTCAATGCACTGCACGCATCCATGTGCACATCCTGTTTCCGTGAGTGCGCTTGCGCATGTATGGTGTGTCTGTGAGTTCGCAAGGCCTCTGTCACGTCTGCCTCCCCCGTCGTTGCACTCAAGACCGGGGAGAAGGGCCCATGCTTGCAAGCACGGTGCGCACGCGTCACGCGTCCGGTGCCTCCTTTCGCATCGCATGCCGTCCTGCCCCCGAGGCCAGCAACGACGCCCCTCCTGCACACGCGCGCCTCCAGCAGCCGAGCCGTGCGAGGGCCGCGGGGGCGTGCGGGTGGCGCGGCCCTCGGAGGCCGAGCCTCGCGAACGGAGCGAGCAGCACGCCCCCGCCCCCCCGCCCAGCCCTCGGACTGCGTGGTCGCGCGGTCCGCCGTGGCTTCCGAGATGGCCTTGTCCAGCTCCGCGGCCTCCTGGCGGATCGGGCCGCGGCGGAGGCGAGGCAAGGGTGCCGAGGGCGCAGGGACGTCGAGGCAGGAGCTGGGTCGGTGAGGGTACCGGAGGAGGGCGAGGGGAAGGAGGAGCAGGAGAAGGACCCATCCTGGTGGAGAGGGATCAATGCTTGCAGCTCCAGAAGGACAACACAACGGAAGTAGAAGCGGACGCCAGCAGCGTCCGAAGGAGTAGCGGGAGAAGTGGGACTGAGGATTCTGAGGGAGAAGCTGTGGATGGAGCAAGGAAGGGAGAGGGGGAACAGAAAAGGCAGATAAGGATGGATTGAGGAGCGGGTGGGGCAGACGGAGGCAGAATGCTGCGAGGAGGGAACCAGAACCGATGGTCCGACCGGGGAGGAGCGAGAGAGAGAGAGAGAGAAGAAAAAAAGAGAGAGAAAGATACATGAAAGCGCTGAGTAGGAAGGAGTCTCACAGGAGGGCGGGAACGGAGAACGCACATCGCCCATACCCCTCGACATCCAATCATCACTGCCAATTTTGCGTCACGATTCTGCTCAGTCCGCTGCCCTGTTTCCGTGTACAGCTGCCCCCATGCGTGCTCTCTGGCCTTGGTTTCGTACTTGACAGACTGCTCCTTCGCGACCTTCGCCTCCTTGTTGTCCTGGGTCGTGACCTGGCGGAGGAAGGGCACGGGCGAAGAGCAGCACTGTTCGAGTGATACAAGCGGCACGTGATGCCGCAGGTGCAAGCAAAGGGGCGTTGGGAAGACGACCGAGGGTCATGGCCGACCGTAAGAAATCATCGCGTGATATTCGCGCGTGCTCAGGTTCTGCAGCATTGGAGCCTAGCGTATAGCGTTGAATAATGGCCGTTCGCGAATCAGCGAGCGCCGGGGGTCCGAAACTAACGCTTTCGTTGGTGAGGCCGCGGACTCGGATTAGGGTGAGCGGTGAGTTTCTGAACGCAAGTATAAGTGCGTTCAGGCATACATTGCCCCTGCATGCTGCCCCCCCCTGGCCCCCGCGCTCTCCACCAAACGAGGACGGATAGGGGAGGAGAGGGGTGAACGGGGCGAGGGGAAGGGGAGGAGGCAACCGGAAGGTGAGGTGAGGGACGAGGGGTGAGTAAGGAAGAGGAGGACGGGAGGGAGGCGGGCCAGAAGGAGGAGGATGGAGGGACGAAGAAGAGAAGGACGATAAACAGGACGACGAGCTCGGTGAGAAACAGGAGGAATTCGAATGAGGATCAGGAGGGCGGACGAGGAAGTAGTGCTGTGGGTACGTACATGTGGGGTCCCTCCTGCTCATCATCCCCCCTGCCCACCTCCTTCTTCTTCTTATCGTCCTACTCCTCTTCCATTTCGCCCTCCACCTCATCAAGATGTCACCACCAACACCCTCGTCGTCATCAACACCTTCATCATCAACATCATCAGCATAGCCATGATCATGCTCATGATCAGCATCAACCGTATCATCATCATCATCATCATCATCATCATCATCATCATCATCATCATCATCATCATCATCATCATCAGCAACATCATCATCATCATCATCGTCATCAGCATCATCATCATCATCAGCATCTTCATCTTCATCATCATAATCATCATCCTCACCACCATCACCATTACCATTACCATTACCATCACCATCACCATCATCATACTCATCATCACCACCATCACCATCACCATCACCATCACCATCACCATCACCATCACCATCACCATCACCATCATCATCATCATCATCGTCATCATCATCATCATCATCATCATCACCATCACCATCACCATCACCATCACCATCACCATCACCACACCATCATCCCTCACGGGGATATCCGCGCGGCCATATATTGGCTGTCTTGTGCCAAAAACGGCGGGTGCGGGCATGCGTGCGCTCTCGCTGGAGCTGCAAGAACTGTAGCTAGAGCCCTCTATGACGCGCGAAATGGGCAGGTAGCATGCGGCCGCCCTCCAATCGCGGCGACGGTCTGATCTAGTTGTGTTGTCCCCCCCAAACTGCCCTCTCAGCGAGCGAAATCTATCGTGATCACTGAGGCGCGCACTTTGAAAAGGCAATTCAGATCTATCTGTTTAGTTCCTCTGCCGATCTGGGCCAGCCCGACCCGCCAATTTGGGTCCACCCCGCTCGCCCGCCAGACCCACCCGTTCAGAGCCTGTTTCTTTTGTTTGTTCTCTCGATTTTCCGGGATAGCAGCCGTCATTGGCCCCGCCCCCCCCCCCCCGAGATGACGTCAAGTTCCCCGGCGGCGGCGTCTGGGAATGCCCAGGGATGGCCGAGGCCAAGTAGGAGCAGTATGTAGGTGGCGATCTGCACCACAGCGCCTGTGTACACCACAGTGCTTGCATGCACCGCAGCGCCTGTGTACACCACAATGCTTGCGTGCACCGCAGCGCCTGTGCACACCACAACGCCTGTGCACACCACAACGCCTGTGCACACCACAGCATCCGCATGCAATGCAGCGCTGGTGTACGCCACAGCGCCTGCGTGCACAGGACAGGTATGAGGAACATGTGGGTGAGGATATGCTGCGGACAGCTAAACAACACGCAATGGAAGTGTTGATAATAGGATGCGATGTTATTCCCTTCTACCTCCTCCTCCTCCTCCCTCACCCTTCCCCCCGTCGTGCGGGCCGGCGCTGCAGACCACGTGCGCATTTCAGTGTGCACCGCAGAGTGATCTATCGAATCACTCCACCTGCTTCTCGGACGGCAGATTCTGCGGTGGCCTTCTGGACGCAGATGGGAGGAACTAGAACGATGCGGGAGGACTCGTCCATTCCAGCGTTTTTTTTTATTATTATTATTTTTATTTATTTTGTTTATTATTATTTATATATATATATTATTATTATTATGATTACTACTTTTTTCCCAGAATGAATCATTTCCAAATCCTATATGAAGCATTTTTTTGAGTGGAACCCACAGGCGCTCCATTTTGTCATCCGGATTCCTTTCAAACTTATATGTGCAACAAAGATGCTCTGTTGCACACGGTCGCTGTGGTGCACACGCGCGCCGTGGTGTACACACGCACTACGCACTGTTGTGCACGCGGGCGCTGTACTGTACAATGGTGCTGTGTTGCACACGGCTGCTGTGGTGTACGCAAGCATTGTAGTGTACACAAGCGCTGTGGTGCACGTAGGCACTGTGGTGCACAGAGGTACTACGTTGCACGCGGCTGCTGTGGTGTACGGCAGGCGCTGTGGTGCACGCAAGCACTGTGGTGTACACAGGAACTGTGGTGCAGATCGCCACCAACATGCTGCTGCTACCCGTCCTCGGCCATCCCCAGGCATTCCCAGACGCCGCTGGCGCGAAACGTGACGTCATCGGTTGCTCGCGCTGGCGGCGCGCTCATGACACAACCTTTGCCAGGTGTCCGGGGCCCGGGGAGCGTTGAAGCGTGTCGCGCGCGAGAGAGGAGCGTCGCGGGCACCAGCGTCGGGTGGGCCAGATTGCGGGGCCCAGAAATTGTTACACCATCACCACTTCCCTCATCCCATCCCTCGCCAAGGAGAAAGGAGAGGGAGAGGAGAGTCGAGGAGGGAGGGGCAAGGGAGGTGGTGTTGATGTATATTATTGGGATCCGCACCTAGCGAGAAGCTGATCTGTCTGGCCACGCGAGCCCGCCACCTGTGCCGCGGTGGGGGGCGGGGGGTGGGGGTGGTGGCAGAGGGGCCTCGGGCCGCCCCTGGGTGAACATCGCTTGCGGTGTCGCGCGCCACTCTCTTCGGAAGGCCAGGGGATCTCTGCGGCGCTGGTCAGATGGGATGCGAAGTTCCCTCGAGCCAGCAGGCGTCCGCGGAGCCGGGTGCCATCTCGACGGAAGCCGGCAGACCTTCGGATCCGATGCCGCGCCGAGGAGCGACGCGTGAGAGGCCGCGGCCCACGCGCCCTGCCCCGTGCGGGTCGGCCGCCCCGGCCGGACGCGGCGCGCCACTGCCTCGCCTCGCCCCGGGGGAGCTCTCCGAAGCGGGAGCGTTCTCCACGTGGGGTGCTGGCTCGCACAGCTTCTCGGAGAGCTGGCTCCGCTCCTGTCACGCGTTCCCAGGGGCGCCCTCGAGGGCGCGAAGTTATTCGCGGTTCGCGGTTCGGCTTCGATTCCTCCTCCTCCTCCTCCTCCTCTTCTCCCCTGGGAGGCGGCGCGAGAGTGCGAAGTTATTCGCACTTCGCGCTTCGCGCTGCGCGAAGCGCGAAAATGGGAGCCTTGGTTCCTGCCGGGCCCAATCGCGTGAGACACCCTCCAGCAACAGCGGCATCGGTTGGCTGGCTGGCTGGCTGGCTGGTTGGCTGGCTGGTTGGGTGTTCGGATGTGTGGGGGGCTGGTCAGGTGGCGGGCCCATTGGTTTGTTCGTTGTTTGGCTCGTCGGTTGGCTGTTTGGATTGGTGGTGGGTTGATTGGATGGCCGGCCGATCGGTTCGTTCGTTGGTTGTTGGTTGGCTGGTTTGCTTGCCCGTTGACCCGTTGGCCGATTAGGTGACTGGCTGAATTCTTGATTGTATGGTTAGCTGGTTGGTTGTTTGTTGTCATACTTCCTGTCCTCCAGCCTAGGCGAGGCATAAAGGAAACCACATAAACCAAACGCTTCGCTTGTTGAGGGGCCATGCCGGCGGAAAAGCAGCACGTAATGGCGACCTTCGTTTTGCGCAGCCTGTGCTGCGGCGAGCGCAAGGCACGGAGAAATACATCGCAAATATAAACGTCGGTCCTCGCGCGCTAGGAGTGGCGGGTAGGGCGAGAATGAAGCAATACAGACGGCCTTCGCCCTGCACACCGCGTGCTGAGTCGAGCGCCAGGCGCAAACGGGAGACGTATAGCTAACTTGGACTAAGTCTGCGCAAGGGGGCCAGGTTTGGGCAAACAAGCAAAGACGACCTGCGCCCTGCCAAGGCTGCGCCACTGGGAGCGCAAGGCAGGGCACACATAGATATTTCGCCCTGCACAACGCGCGCGCGAGGCAATGGCGAGAATACAGTCGGCCCAGGTTAACATCACAGGAACATGCACCAAACGAAGACCTCGCTGGCGGAAGGGCCAAGTTGAGGACGCGAAGCAGGTTAATAAGGTGTGCGTCCTGCATACCGCGGGCTGCGGTGAACGCGAGGCTGCGCCAGGAGCAGGAGGCGAATAACGTAGAAGAAACAGGAACCCTCTCCTGACGCATTTTCTCCTTCTCCTCCTCCCCCTCCTCCCGATCCGACTCCGAATCTACCTTTGCTCCTCTTCCACCTCACCCTGTACTCATGGGTCGGGCGGGTCGGTAATGCGCTGGGGGGCGTAACCGAACCGGCGGGCCTGGCGGGCGGGACTTTACAGCCGGCGGGTCGGGCTTTCCAACAAGCGATCGGGTGGACCTTGAAAAGGGCGGGTCGGGTGTGCGGGCCCTTAGCATGTTTTTGCTGTTCTTTATTATGGGGCGATGAGGGGGTGGGGGGGAGGAGGGGGTCGGGCTTTCAAGCAAGCGATCGGGTGGGCATGTTTTTGTTTGCTTTTTATTCTGGGGCGATGATGGGGTGGGGGGGAGGAGGGGGGGCCGTCCCGCGCTGCGCACCGCGCCATCAGCGCCTCCAAGTCCGCCCGTGGTGCCCTTCTCCTCCTCCGCCTCCTCCTCCTCCTCCTGCTCTTCCTCCTTCTACTCCCACTCGTGGTCTTTGTCCTCGTCATCGCTGTCCTCTCTTCTTCTTCTTCCTCCTCCTCCTCCTCGGCCTCCTCCTCCCCCTCCTCCTACTCCTCCCTCCCTCCCTCCTTGTCCGCCCCCCTCATGCTCCCCTTCAACATCGCATCCCCGTTCTCCGACATTCGACGTCGGAAACATCGTGACAAGGTCATCGTCGTACTCCTCCTCCTCCTCCTCCTCCTCCTCCTCCTCCTCCTCCTCCTCCGCTTTTTCAGTTAGGCCGGACATGGACGTCAATTGCGCGATGAAGCTTTACCCTCAAACCTGAGACCGCTTGCAGGCGTGCGCTGGTATGCGCACAGGGCGATGCAAAAACATGCAATTGGACACGCTGCGAGAGGCAACATGGAGACCAGAGTATTGATCAACTAGGCAGCTCAAGCGTATCCTAGGTCACCTAACTTTGCGGCTCTCTAGCACAGACCGCGATTCGCGCCCATGCGGGTGACCTGGGTATCCTTGGCGGAGGAGTGTGGAGTGTGTGTAGGGGCGGGAGGAAAGGTGAGGAGGCCTCCAGAAGCCTCCCGAGACCAGAAACAAAACCCAACGTCCCCAAAACTGAATCATGCTTCCCCCTCCCCCTTCCCATCGCGCCCCCACTCCCGATCCCAGTGCCGCTGCTGGCCTCGTATTCGGACTGCGCGGCGTCTTCCGCGGCGGTGATCTCGGCAAGGCCCTTGGTGAAGTCGGAGAGGCAGACCTCTGAGAGTCTCTCTCGCTGGGGAAGCGAGGCGGAGGAGGAGGGGGAGGGACAGGCCTCCTCCTCCTCCTCCTCCTCCTCCTCCTCCTCCTCCTCCTCCTCCTCCTCCTCCTCCTCTGTCTCGCCAGGGACGAGAGGATGGCATTGAAGAGCTCCCTCTCCCCCGACCCCCCTCCCCCTGTGGCTCCTCCCGACCTGTTTCTCCCGCTTGCTGGGCGAGCGCAGACCGTGCTCGAGGCCGAACGAAGCGGGGGGGGCTGGGAGGCCTTCGGGCCGACCGATCGAGGCAGCGGGGGGGGGTACTCTGTCCGCTCGGGGCGGAGTCTCCCAGAAGAGAGAGGGAGAAAGAGAGAGAGAGAGAGACAAGACATGGAAGGAACGCGGTATGAGCCCAGCCCGACTGTGCATCGTACCCGGGCGGCATCGCCAGAACGCATGAGGACGCACTCTGTCTGCCACGAAGGCCTCCGCGACTCCCACGGGCCACAACAAGGCGCAAGTGGAAGGTGCACCAGGAAAGGGCACTGAGTATAATGCCGTCAGGGGCACAGATGGAAAGTGGACCCGAAATATAAACGTCATGGTTCTGCCACAATTAAGCAATGCATTTCAATGTGCGGCCTATAAATTTGGCTTCACCTCTACGAAGATGATTGGTACAGCGTTCAACTAAACTGGGGGCTCGTATTCCCAATGCACTCCGTACGGCATGTGCGTCGCTGAAGACGTGATTGCACAAATCTGCCGACCATGTCAGCGTGTGCGGGACGCTGTTCCGTCGTCGTCGTCGTCGTCGTCGTCGTCGTCGTCGTCGTCGACGCCGTCGCCATTCCCCCCTTTCCCTGGGCCCTCCTCCTCAAGCGCGCCAGCCAAAGCGAAATGGAGCAACGTCGTAGTTGAGTCGAATGGAAGGCTCTTCTCTCTGATCCCTTCCCCGCCCAGGGGGGGGGGTCCCGGGGGGGGTTTTGAGGGGTGGTGTTGGGAAGGGGGTCCCGGGTCAGAATGCCATCACACTTAGCTCGGGCGTGTCCCCCTACAGGGGGATTTCGGGCGCAAAATGAAAAATACTCCAAACATATTCCAAACTGATAAGATAATGAAACATCTTCCTCTGCCTACTTTTAAAATATTTTGAATTTTCCCCCTGTAGAGGGACAGGACCGACTTAACATCAAACCGGGGGTCCCGGGCCCCGGAGGCCCCAAGGCGGGCCAAGAATGCTTCAAGAGGCCCCGAATACGGTCCAAGAGGGCCCCGACTCGCCGAACGGTCGGCCCAAGACGCCAGAGGCAGCTTCCAGAAGACGGCCCACGGGAAAGAGGCCTCCAAGAGCACCCCCAAGGGGGCCCCAAGAGGCAAGACCCACTGATGTTCCTGAGATGTTTGAAGGATCTTGGCGTTGTCGCCTTTTCGGCTTCCCGACGTTCCCAGGCGGCCGAAGAGGCCCCCAAGATCACCCCAAGACGACACAAGAGGCCTCAAAGATGGCCCCAAAACGAAACAGGGGGGCCCCAAGACGGACCAAAAGGCCTCCACGGGGGCCCACCCCCACGACGGCTCCACGAGGGTGCCCAAACGGGGGAGCCCAACTGACATTTCGAGCCCTCGGCCCCGAGAGGCTGCCAGGAGGCCACAGGAGGCCCCGAAGAGGCTGCCAAGGGGCCCCGAGAGCGTCCCAAGAGGCCCCGAGGTTCCTAAGGATGCCCCACAACTGCCCCCCCAGAGGCCCCCTGAGAGCGCTCCGCAGAGATCCCAAGAAGCATCCATGAGGGCTCTGACCCACGTCGGCGTCATCGTCGTCGCCGCCGTAGCCGCCGTCGCCGTCCGCCTTCAAGATCGGCGGCACCAGCCGTACGGCCTTCGCAATCTGAATGTGTTCACGTCATGCGGCATCTGCCACGACGAAGGCGTGATATGTAGAATTACGAGCGAATGCACCAACAGCGCTTGAGCAAACACTCTGGACCACCATATCTCCTTTTACTTTCCATGTGTTCTGCTCCTGCCGCCTTCCTCCCCTCCTTTGCCAACCTCCGCCCCCTTTCTTCCCCTCCGCCTCCCCCGAATCGCCCGCCCCCCAGCCTCCTGTTCCAACCTCTCCTTCGTTTGAAAAAGCAGCTGCCTCCAGCATTCCAATGATGCCACCAGCCGCTCCCTCGTTGGCGTCGTGGGCCTTGTCTTCCTTCGCGTAGTCCGCTAGCCACTATCAGAGGGGCCACATTTGGCACGATGCCAAGTGAACGACTGGTCGATCATACTGGTCATGCCCCTATTCCAACCTCGTCGTTGTAGTCTTCAGCTTTCTCCTCCCCCTCCTTCTCCAACTGTTCTGATGACTTTGTCTTTGTCCACCACCAGGCCTGCGTACTATTTCTGAGCCTCCCCGAACTACTCACGTATGTCCTCCCTCTCTCTTTCCCTCTCCCTATTCCTGTCACTCTCTCTCTCTCTCAATCGCGCTCTCTCTCTCTCTCTCTCTATTTCTCCCCCTCCCTCTCCCTCACCCTGTCCCAGTATACGCACGTATTGTGTACTGCTTGTTGGCAGGCGCCTCTCTCAATATGTATGTACGTATACGTATATAGATAATATCTCAGTGCTCGTATTATTCTTACCATTATTTGATAGGCAGAGAGATATACAACGCGAGACAGAGGGAGCTGTGTGTGTGTGTGTGTGTTTGTGAGGGTACACGTACATACATGCATACACATGTCCATACACACATCTACATCCATATATCAATACATTCATCCATCCATATATACGTGCGTGCGTGCATGCACACTCATGCATACCTACGTACCTACCTACCCACCTACCTACACACATCCATACATACATTCGCATACACACATCCACACATACACGCATGCATACATGCACGCATGTATACTTACATACATACATACATACATACATACATACACATATACACGCATACGTGCATACATGCACACACGCGTACATGCGTGCATGCATACATGCATACATGCATACACGCATACATGCATACACGCATACATGCATACACGCATGCGTGCATACTTACGCACATACATACATCATACACATGCATGCATGCATGCCTTCATGTATACATTCATTCAAACATCCATACAACCATACATACATGTGCCCGCCACCGTACCCTGATGCACGAGTTGGAGTGTTCTCAAGTCGCTGCGAGTTCTCTGTATGAGATACGGTGAGCTTTCTTCACGAAGCCCACAACCCAGAGTTCCAGGCGCTCCTGTGCACTCCCAAAGGTTGCCCACGTGACCCTTTCAGAGGACCAAAGCGCGTTGTCCTGGAACCCTATTGGGCGCCTCCGAGGCCGTCTTGGAGGCTCTGAGACGGTTCAAGAAGCCCAAATCGTCAAAATCCATTGGTTCTTGCATGGGTGTTGCGTTACTGCAGTTTTGGTGTCCAGAGCGTCCACGACGGCCCATGAGGCGCCCGACATCGCCCCAAAACGGCCTAAGATCACCCAAGATGGGCCCATGAGGCCCCCCCAGATAGCCCCAAGAGGGGCCCAAGAGGTGGACCACGTACTGACATTTTGAGCCCTGCACCAAGATGGCCCCGCGATCCTCCCAAAGGCCCCCGGGATGCCCCCAAAACGACCCAAGAGGCCCCCAACAGGGCTGGAGAAACCCACATCAAACCTTAACAAGCTCCCGAACGCCCCTTATACGCCCCCAACACACACACACACACACACACGCACACACACACACGCACACACGCACACACGCACACACGCACACACGCACACACGCACACACGCACACACGCACACACGCACACACGCACACACGCACACGCACACACGCACACACGCACACACGCACACACGCACACACGCACACACGCACACACGCACACACGCACACGCACACACGCACGCACACGCACGCACACACGCAC